ACTTTGTGACGTAATAGGAGGTGGGACTGCAAACCATCCATCATTAACACTGGTGATTTGCTCTCTTGAGTCACAGCTATCGAGGCCTGCATAATTTGTAACGCTCTGTATGATCCAATGACATTCTGCTAAACCTCTTTGTCTTGTGTACACACTGTTTTGATTTTGCTGAATCTATATAATTGTATTGATCTGATGATGAATTATCGAAAACAATTGTTCGTCACGTTTACTCTTCTATGATTCAATGGGAATTTTCGCGAGATTTATAACTCCATGCTTGGTGATCCCTCAATCCCGTTTTCGCGTACACACGAGAGACTTATGTCATTAGTCACTAGCGACAGAAGTCATAGTCAGAATGATATTATGTTAAATTCCAAGGTTTGTTTGTCCGAAGGGCAAGCTTCTACTTGTGCCCCGAATATCATTTTAGCTTGCCACCTTCAATGTTCAAACACTTGTGCAAAATAAGTCAGCAAGCAGCTCTTGCGCTTACTTTGGAGGCGTTTGTCATCGGTATCTTTGGCGAGATATTGCTTCACGATCCTATGTGGGTGCTACATATCCGATCTCCGTCTACCGCTTCGCCGTACGTGTGCAATGTACGCTTGTCCGGAGACTGTGCGGCTCAAGCAACTGGCCATGCTGGTATTGGAATTATCCTAAGTGCATACGCAAATAGGCGTTGCTTGACGAGATATTCGTCAACAGCTGCCTTTGTGTTATCAGATTTGTGAGATACCCATCACAAACGCTGTCTGTTTTTGTTGTGGTATATGCCCCACTGATTGTAGTCCAGATACAATCAAGGCTAGTTTTTTACCATCGGCTCACTAACATTTTGAACACTGCGGAGCACACGGACATGCTGATACTGACTGGAAAATTTAACGCTGAGGTAGACAGACTACGCTGATGAGGGTGGCTTGCTTCACCCACATTCTTGCCGTACTCGTCGAACAGACAACGATGAGCGTTCATTGCAACTCGGTGTTGTTAACGGTCAGTATCCAGCGAGTACTAATTTCCGACGTTCCAAAGGCCGCTACGCTACCCGGCGAATTCTATCGACGAGTCACCCGTGGACACCGGTTGACCACATGGCTGTCAGCCATCAGTGAGCGTGGATGTTTCCAAGATTGCAAGTCAATCTGGAGCACCTGCGTGGATTCCGATCATGCACTGTTATGTGCCAAGTTCGCTTTGCGCTTCGATAGGGAGGCCACTTTGCCGTCAATCACAAGTTGACGCATCTAAACTAAGAGGGCCACTGGCGCCTCACGCTCTCCAATGTGCGCTTGCCTCCAGTTTACGGCCCCGTCCACCAGGCAACCTACAATGTAGCCTACAATGCAAAAGTATAGTACTGCCTCGTTTGTTACTACTACTCGTTTATCTGCCAACTGTCGAGTCTCTTAGCGATCACTGGAACTTCTCGACGCTCGCCGGAATATTCTATCTAGCAGTGAATGTAAATCGACCTGCAAGGCTACTTGCCCGACGCTGTGGAAACAACTACGACAGGATCACAAAGCCTGGTGGACACCACGTGTTATCGAGATGAAGCAAGCCGCTGCTACCGGGAACTCTTGGAAGCTTTCCCATCTCATCCGATCAACTGGTAGCAGGAAGCCAGGTGTGAGCGAGTTAATCTACGAAGTCAGGACGCTTGGCTGCACACTTCCAATAGCAGTTCAACTGGCCATCCGGGCCTCGGATTACGCCCTCGGTCTCTGCCTGTGCTCATTGGTCCGTTGATACTTCTTCGCTCTCGAGGAACAGAATTCTGTCTCAAGATCAAGTTTCTGAAACGTCACAAGGCACCCGGTCCAGACAGACTGCCTCGTGCCTTTTGTAGATAAAAGTCCACTCCTTAGTTACCAAGCTAACAGCTATGCTCCAGAAACTGTGGATCAGTGAAGTTGTTCCAAATGCCGGGTTTGCCTAACATTGTAGTGATTTTCGAGAACGGCACAAACACTGTGTGCAAATTATCGAGGGGTTAGCCCGATTCCTATTGCGTCAAAGTTGCTCACAACCATTACACTTGGTAGACTAAGCGAAACGCGTGAAGAACATATCCGTGTGGAAAGACTTGGGTTCCGCCCTGACAATGGTTGCACCTGATCATATCTTTGTATCTTGTTACATACTTGATCTCTACCATTCTTACACGGGGCCAACAGTTGTCTTTTGGACATCAGAGGGATCACTGATTTTGTTGGCAGAACTGCACTCTGGGACTGTGTGTCGATGAATGGTGTGTCTGAGAAGTATGTAAACATCCTGAAGGCAATTTACTGTCAGACCTCGGGCAGGGTTAGGGCTTATGGCAGCGTATCGCCGACCTTTGACATCTCAGTTAGTGTGAAACAAGGTTGTCTAGCCTCCCCCTTCCTTTACAGTTTTGCAGTAGACGAAATCCTAGAGTGTGCCTTGATAGACTGCGAATATGATGGTGTGGATTTGCTCCAGGCACTCGACTTCGAGACATAGAGTATGCAGATGACATCGCCGTAATATGCGAGGGTTTACAGGGAGCCCAGGAACGTATCAGACAGATTTGAGGGTTCAGTTCACCAGTTTGTTATGGTCTTTGCACCTATTAAATGTAAGATGTTGTTGCAAGATTGGCAGTACCCTGCACCTGCTCTCACCCTCGGTAGTCGTCGAGAGGTTTGTGTGCCTTGGGGACTGTATCATCGCTGATGGGATGTCTGATGAGATCGCAAATTGCATAACAAAGGCTTGGATGACGTTTTCCGACTTAGGCCATCTGTAGCGCCGACATGGTTTAAGTCCTTCTGTAAAAAGCCGAGTTTTTAATGTCACTATGAAGGTAACCCCATTGTTTACAACTCCCAAAGTTGGTCCATTCGCGTGGATGATGTTCACGAAGTGCTCTTTTCCACCATCGGTGTCTCCGAAGCATTAGCGGCATGTGGTGGGAACACCGTGTCAGCAGTGACGAAGTTCGCCGACGTGTCTTCGGAACGGATAAACTCTGTCGACCCTTGAGCATACTGATCTCGTCTCACAGGCTTCGTTGGCTTGGCCACATTTTACGAATGCCAACTCACCGCCTGCCACATCATGCCTTTTTTACGAGTGCTGAGTTTGGCTAGGTAACCAGTGGTCAACGCATGACTTGTATTCGGACTATGAAGATACTTACGCTTATGATTGCTTCATTAGGGCGTTCCCGGCTTCCTGGCTTGGGTCCAAAGAACACTGAATACTTGTGGTTGGGAACGCTGTCTTGTTTGGCGAACAACAGAAGTTTGCCTCTGGTGTTGTGAATTTCTGTGTGCGTTATCGTAACCTTTTTTATTCCACCACATATTACTTTTTTCTCCTATTATGGCGTGTTTGCTACTCTTGTGGTCATCTTCTCTGCTGTCACTAATTACAGAGGTCATTTACGTATCGACGATAACCTCTTCAATGGCAATCGGCAGCTGTTCTTGAAGATAGACCATACTGCTGTCTGCCGAAACAGGAGCAAGCGGCCTCCCCATTGCTACCCCTTCTACCTTTCAGTAACCTCCTTGAGATAGGAATCTGATGGTAGATGTGCACAGAAGCAGCTGTCCATGGCCA